AAGTTTTGAAAGCCGCAATATTAGATCGTTATCGAAGGGAAAGAGGCGGCGTAGATAAAGCTTTTATAGATAAAATTGACAGAGAGATGTTAGAAGCATTTGTAAATGGATTACCATCTGATCTAATAACGCGAATAGAGCATCGCCCTATTAGCAATCTTGATCAAGCTATTGAGTGGGCTGTAAAATTATCACATATCCTGGAAGTCGAAAAAGCCCGCGAAAAAAGACATATTTCTCGCGACCCACTAGAACGCAGACCGCTACGAGCTGATTTTTACAACTCTTAATCCGCCCCTGGAGGAACAAATTACCCGACACAAATACTGAATAGACCTTTTGACGCTCCTCATCCTTTTATTAGACCGCTTATCCCAGGAATGCATGGGCCTAATTCACCAAGTGTATGTCGATATTGTAAATTTCCGGGTCACGACATATCAGCATGCAAAAAATTAACAAAAATACGCAACAAAACTCGGGAAACGCTCCGGGCAACGCGGCCACGCAGGGCGCAAGCCAGGGTACCGCCCAGAATATTACGCGCCCCGCACTAACGTCCTCCCAACCAGAGTCGTCACGCGAGAAGAAGATAATAATACAGGAATAAATTCGGAAACTCGAACCATTACAATTATGAATATCGAATCTTGTAGCACATTACCGAGCGTAATTTTAGGGTGTATATCAGTTGGACACGGGGCAATTGGACACAGTCCAATCACAAGTCGCTGTTCCAAGGGATCCTACAAATGTCTCTAATCACACGGTGCTGTGATTGGCTGTGTCCAAATGCACCGTGTCCAAGTGCACCGCTCCCTAATTTTAAGCGCAGAACAATTAACAAAAAATTGTAATTTTATGATCGACACGGGTTCTTCAGTAAATATCGTGAAATTAAGTGCATTAAAGGATCCCGATATAAACAACCAAGATACTCTGACACTACGCGGAATATCTCAAATATCTTTCGAGACACTAAGATCTACTGAACTAAAAATTTTGAATCAAGCAGCAAAATTCCATGTAGTCAGTGATGAAATAGCTTTTCCGCAAGACGCAATTCTTGGATCCGAATTTCTGAAATATAACGCCACAATAGATTACGAAGCTGAAGTTTTGAAAATAGAAAATCTAAGTATCCCCTTTTTCAAGAACGAAATTATGACTATTCCAGCACGAAGTGTTCAACCAATTGCTTTTATTATTACTAATCCTGAAGTGCAAGAAGGATACATACCGTTGTTAGACTCTGTTAAAGGCACATATGCTGGAGAAGCATTAGTTACTAATTTCAAAGGCAAGGGACATTTACTATTTTATAATACTACATCGAATGAAGTCTCATTTACTATCCCTCCCATGCCTCTTGTGCCCTTTTCTTCCCTGAATCAGGAAAAAGATAATATATATCATGAGAAATATAAACACACACATACCGAAACCTTTTATATGGAGCCTGTTAATGAGCAAGAACGTATCCGCTGTATCGAAGGAATGGTAAACACAGATAGTTTGAATCAAGAAGAGAAAGAGCACGTTAATGCTATATTAAAAAAAAACTCTGATCGATTCTATATACCTGGCGACCTTTTAGGACATACTAATGCCACGACTCACACTATTCCGACAACTGACGAATTACCAGTACACGTTAATATCGATATCCTCCTATACACAAACAAGAGATAGATAGACAAATAAAAAATTTGCTGGAACAAGATATTCGAAATTCTACATCTCCTTATAACTCTCCTCTTTGGATCGTCCCAAAAAAAATCGGATTCTCAAGGACAAAAACGTTGGAGGATGGAATCGATTATAGAACATTAAACGGAAAAACCATAGGTGACGCGTATCCATTACCGAATATAGAAAAAATTTTAGATCAAGTTGGTAGTGCAAAATATTTTTCCGTGTTTGATTTAGTCCAAGGTTTTCATAAAATTCTAATGGCTGCCCCAGACGCACATAAAACAGCATTCTCTACACCCTATAGGCACTACGAATATAAAAGAATGCCCTTTGGGTTGAAAAACGCGCCTGCTACATTTCGGGAGCGGTGCACTTAAACACGGTGCATTTGGACACAGCCAATCACAGCACCGTGTGATTAGAGACATTTGTAGGGTCCCTTGGAACAGCGACTTGTGATTGGACTGTGTCCAATTGCCCCGTGTCCAACTGATATACACCCCTACATTTCAGCGTCTGAACAATGTTTTAACGGGCTTACAAGGAAATGAATTATTCGTGTACTTAGACGATATTGTGATTTACGCTGAATCTCTCGAGAAACATAAAATAAAAATCAACCGACTAATGAAGAGACTCCGCGACGCAAATTTACAGTTGCAACCCGACAAATGTCAATTTCTGAAACATGAAGTCCGATATCTCGGGCATATAATTAATAAAGATGGAGTACAACCTGATCCAAACAAGATAAAATCAATAGAGACCTTTCCAATACCGCGTAACCAGAAAAATGTCAAACAGTTCCTTAGTCTATCTGGTTACTACAGGAGGTTCATACCGAACTTTTCTAAAATAGCTAAGCCACTCTCGGACTTATTGAAGAAGAATAAAGAATTTTTATGGAAGGAAATTCAAAATCAATCTTTTACTACTTTGCGCAATGCCCTCTGTAATAAACCTATTTTACAATATCCTGATTTCAAAAAACCGTTTATCTTAACCACAGATGCATCCGGATACGCAATAGGTGATGTTTTAAGTCAAGGAGCTCTCGGAAAAGATTTACCCATTGCTTACGCTTCGAGAACATTGACCGACGCAGAACAGGACCCAGAAAACTATTTGGTACCAAATTGTCGCCAAATTGACACCAAATATGGCCAAAACTTGACGGCAAATCTGATGCTATATGCGTCCGCAATATGCTTGGGTTTTGTTAGCAAAGCTTGGTGACAAAATCTGACGCCAAATTGTCGCCAAATACCAAGCAAAGTTTGGCGCCAAACTGCGCCGCACAAACTTTGGTCGGTATTTGGCCTCAATTTGGCGTTAAACTGCTCTGCACAAACCTTGCTCGGTATTTGGCACCAATTTGCCAACAACCTTTGATTTAGCAGATATTGTGTCCAATTTGATGACATTTTGGCAGCAAAATTTGTAGTCAAGTGTTGGGCAAAATTTGCTCGAGCAGATTTGGCTATCTGGGAAGTATTCAACTATAGAGAAGGAGTGTCTTTCTATAGTATATTGTACTTCCCATTTTAGGTAATATCTTTACGGAAAGAAATTTACCATTGTAACTGACGATCAGCCCCTTGTGTGGTTGCATTCTATCAAGGATCCCAGTTCACGGCTTTGGAAATGGCGTTTCAAACTTTTAGAGTATGATTATAACATAATTTACAAACCTGGCAAAATTAATAGTTACGCCGACGCCTTATCCAGAAACCCGCCTGATGCACCTATTTTCTCTTTAATTCCCGAAGATAAATCCTTTCCCTCATTTAAAACAACAACTGCACAAGCAGGAAATAATCCACAATCCCAATCATCCTTATCTACATCTCTAATGGACGTTGACACCGCAAACGCCTTACCAAATCCGCTCATAAAACAATGTGAAGAAATTACTGATATTTCCTCTTCCGATGAAGAAGTTTCCGACGAAGAAGAAATATTTCAGGCAAACCCAGTTCCGTATAATTTCCCATCACAGGGAATTCTTTTAAAAACAGTAATTTCTAGAGATACGTTACTAGCATGCAAAGATAATTATGTTATTTTTATTAAAATGGATGGATCGGCATATGATAAAGGAGCCCTTATTTATAGAAACAACGGTGAATTATCTGAATATAACAACTTGATACATGAACGAGCATGCGTTATTCAAAAGGAAACAAAAGTATTAATTGCCTTGCCACTTAAATATAACGATAGAGAAAATATAAGGAAGCGTCCCAGATGCGCACATTAACAAACGGACACAGCCAACCACAACGCCGTATGATTAGAGATATTCTAGAGACTCTATAAACAATGATATATGATTGGATATGTTCGTTTGTCAATGTGCGCATCTGAGACTCACTCAAATGTAACAACCGATAACATAAAAAATTGTATCAAATTTCTTAGAGACGTTATACAAAAATTAGATTTAAAATCCATAAGTATAGCACAAACCGATTTATTTGACGAAATCCCTGGACATATGTTATTAACAAACTAGAAACTAACCTGCAAGATATCGATATAACTCTTACTGTCTGCAAATCTCTTGTTCGCAATCCTCAAGAACATGAAAGAGAACAATTAATATATGAAAGGCATGCGACTAAAATAGGAGGGCACAAAGGCGTTACTTAAACGTATAAACGTATATTAAGACAAAATTTCTATTGGCCCACGATGAAAAGCGATATTCAAAAATATATTCAAGTTTGTAAAGAATGCCAGTTAAAGAAATTAACACGAGTTAAAACTAAACTACCGATGACAATTACTGATACCCCGGGCGCTGCGTTTGATAAAGTGTCAATGGACATTATGGGCCCCCTTCCTGTTACTCCATTTAGAAATAAATATATACTAACAATTCAAGACCTATTAACTAAATATAGCGTAGCCATACCACTTAAACAAACTGACTCGCAAACTATAGCTGACAATTTTTTGAACTTCATTTGCATATACGGTGCTCCTAAAGCCCTACTGACTGATCAAGTTCCAAATTTCTTTACGTCTATAATGAAAAATCTAGCCAAATCACTAAAAATTCGATAGTATAGAACTACAGCTTATAGACCACAATCAAACGGATCAATAGAGAGATCCCACCACGTTTTAACTGAATACTTAAAAATGTATACCAACATTAACAATAGTTGGGATGAACATCTATTTACTGCCATGTTCTGCTACCCTTATAGAAATATCATACTAAGAATCATTGATAATTACTTATTTTCAGTATTAAAAATACTGGATAATAAGTAATTATCAATGATTCTTAGTATGATATTTCTATAAGGGTATAATACTTCTGTCTATGAAGGAACTAATTATACTCCTTTCTCCGTTGTGTTTGGTAGAACTCCTCAACTCCCTTCATCAGTCCCAATCCTGGAAGAAGACACAGAGATAACATACCAGCGTTACCTCACTAGGGAGCGGTGCACTTGGACACGGTGATTTGGACACAGCCAATCACAGCACCGTGTGATTAGAGACATTTGTAGGGTCCCTTGGAACAGCGACTTGTGATTGGACTGTGTCCAATTGCCCCGTGTCCAACTGATATACACCCTATCCACCTATACATCCACTGATATACATCCACCTCACTAACCTTTATAACACACTCAGAACATCGCAAGTGAACGCAAAAGAAACCTTGATCCAAGCCAAATAGAGAAGTAAGAAGTTGTAAGATAAGTCGCGGATGCTAGCCCTGTCCGGAGCGATAGCAACTTATCCCACGGCGCAGGTGTCCGAGTGTTAATAACTGACACTAATTAGAACACAAAACAATTATTTATTGTACTTTACAGTTCCTATTTCCTCAATTAACTTTGAACGAGAACATTATACAAAGCGGTAGTCCTCAGTAACTTGTACCCGCACGTGCTCTACTCGTGTTTCGCGGTCGCACTTATAACAACGTAATAGAATTATACGTAAGTTCGATATTACAACCAATGTCCATGCGGGACAATATCCGAACAGATACGCGAATAAATTCCGTACCCAAAGCGATAATCCGCCCTTTCTTAGTTGACTTAAACACCAGGCATATACCGGTACACGATCTCGGAGCTCCTCGCTCTCTTCGTTACTTGGCAAAACTTGCGCGGCTTCTGCCTCTCCTTCTTCTCTCGCTACGCATGTTAAGATTCGGCGCCTGGGAGAGGAGACTTCAATCCCGGCTACGGTGTTTAACTTTACACTAACATCGCTAGATGTCACTACCTCCTATGATTTCTTACAAAGTATTATGATCAACGTATCAATGAACAAAATTTTAATACTGGAAATTTCATATACTTATTGAAAGAAATACTTATACTTATCAAAGGCAAATTTGCTGATCAATATACGGGACCGCACGAGGTTTTAGAAATACTTCCACCACGGAATGTCAAATTAAATTATAAAGGTCGACCTCGTATTGTTCATATGGATAAATTAAAACTATTATGCTTTAATCGAAACAAGGATCCAGGATGAAGGAAAGCATAAATAGCAAGGAGAAAGCATACAAAATTGTATTAGAATATGCGGACCAGAATCCTGGATTCCTATCAACTATATCATTATATCTTAAGCAACAATATTACTCATTAACCACCACATACATTGCACGTACATGCATTATACATATTATAAACAAATATAACTATATATATATATATATATATATATATATATATATATATATATATATATAT